TGATTTTGCACGACCGATTGATTAGAACTAAAAGACAAAAAGTGTAGATAATTTTGGATATTTCTAAAATCAATTCCCACAGACAGAATTCGATGTATGTAAAATCTCATTATTTTACAGATTTTCAAACATTTTTTTATTTAGGCATTATGGACGCCAAGTGTCCCTTTAGGTCTGTGACGACTTTTCGGAAATGACGGCAAGAGAGGTAAAACCGGAAGTGAACATTTCGTTGCAACCCAAGTGAGAAATTTACGATTCAACACTTTACATAAGCTTCAAAATAACGTTAAAATATATAATGAGTAGAGGGCTGGTAACATAGAAACCACTGCCTCCCTGTGCTTATACTAGAGAGATTCAGCATTTTGATGTCAGGACACCTTAACTGTTTTATACATGTGTAATGCAGTATACTCAGCTGTCATCAGACCATTCTATAAAACCTTTTGTAATGGAACACCTATACAACCACTATACAAAGAAATAATAAAAAAAACACCTAGATATGATATCATTTTGAATCAGCTCTATTTTCTATTCAATTAACTACATATTTTTATTTGAATAGGATTGGTCAAGATATTATTGCTCATGCGACCGTAACAMTTGGTTCATTTTGCGCATGCTCCAGTTTTACTTGGTACAGACTGCGCATGTCAGTTCCCGTCCTTCCACGTAAGGAAGACAAGGCAGAGAGCCACACCTTCCTTCCACGGTGTACAACAATGCACCATTATGGTTGTGAACCGAGCCTTTGACGACTTCTGGATCTTTGTCAACGCAAATGAAATCTTTCTGGCTGTTTTGACGGTACTCCGATGACATAAGATATCCCCAGTACTCTTTGGACCATCCCGGGGGACACTCGTATGTTGCCGGGATCATCATTTTAGCATTGCGGTTTGGAACAAAGCATGCAGCACAAGGGACGTCGTGATCGTGAGGGTTGGGTGAAAATGGATTGTAGCTTTCCTTAGTTTGATACTCAGCACCGTACATGTAGGCTGAATACTTTTGATGAGCATCGTTGTAGCTCGCGTACTTGGGGGACTCTGTTAGGCATACATAGTTGGAACCCCCGCCGGGATGGCTGTAGTGCTCTCCCCCTACACGACCTACCGAACCACGTAGAGAATAAGAAAAATATCAGTATGTAGCAACGATTATTGACTCTAATTATTGAATATGACTGTTGACTGTATAGTCAAATAAAATACAATCTTGACTCTTAGAACGTCTTAGAATTCTTTTCTTCTTGTGATAAAGTTATTGATATATCAAGGGTTCGACTCTTGAATTCTTGAATAGCCCTTGAATAGCCCTTGAATTCGTAATTTCTGTGAAATATGAGATATACAGCTACATGAAACAGGATGAAATCCGATTCATGAGATTACAACTCTCTGTTATACTGTTATGTGATAACTCTAAATGTCTTTTTCAATCTTTTTTCGATATGATTGTAATGATCAACACTCAGACTAAAGAACAAGAATCTACACATCTACCACATAACTGTCACGACCACGTGATTCATTCTGAAATCTACCTTTGTAGACGAGATTAGCACCAGAAGGACACGAAGTCCTCCCCCAGCGAATGTACTGAACACCGCCACTTTTGGGACCAGGAAGACCCCTCAGTCCCTGAGCACCACGTGGACCTTGCAAACCAGGACTGCCTGAACATAACAACAATTTAATACAATTTAGTCGAATATATACTTTGTATATACCTTTTTAACAAGACTGCGTTACTGTTAAAACGACCGCTAAGCTGCAGCATTTAAAATATCAAAGGAAATATGGGAACTAGGTACAAATATAAACGTTAAAAACCCTTTCCCTGTCATCAACTAGTTTCTGAAAAGGATATTACCTCGTGTTCCTGAGGAGCCATGTTGGCCATCACGACCATCTCGTCCTGAAAGCATCGGATAGAGTTACATGATTTTTTTTTTGTTGTTGATTTTTTGATTTTTTTAGTGTTCAATGAACAATTAAGTTATTTCACCCACGTGATCACTTGTTGGTTGGCCGCCATATTGGCGGACATATCATATTTCAAAATCACATGTAAATGTATGCAAGGTTTACGCTACAATCGATAGTTTAGTCAGTTTTTGATGGATTTTAGCATAAATTCGACGTATTCAAAGAAATCAAAGCCAGGTCAAGATAGCTATACTACCATTCCACTCCCTGAGTATGGAAAAAGTTTAGATTCATCCGTAACAACGCGATATTTGAAGAAAGTTTAAACCATAGGTATTGACCCCATGCTACTGAAGGGGAAAAGCTAATATTGTTTGTCATTGTATGAGCGAAATATGTTTTTTGAATGATTTTCGTTTGTGGTAACAGATCTGATAGAGACTTTCTTTCGTACGAGTAGTAACCAAGACGAAGAACCTCAAAAACTCTAAGTATTGAGGAGAAAACTTTGGATTAGCGCAATAAAGCCGAGCCGACCTCAAAGACTCTGTTTTGAAAGCCGTGTTTGCGGCAAACATTTTGTCTCATGACGGGCGGCATAACCTTGGGATCGTTACAATCCTTATTGAGCTCACTGCGCTTGGGACATAGCAAAAATATGTATGAAAAGAAGCTTGAAACCACGCAAAAAATGAAGCTGTCTCAAAGCGCGAAGAAAGAGTACAAGGACTCGACAAAGTTAGTGGAGGACTAGAAATGTAGCGATCAAAGAAATTCCATGTAAAATCGATGAACCTGGCACAGAAATCGAGGACATTAGTTTTGAATCCTTTGACGAGAATAAGGCTCGTATATGTATAAACAACAAATCATTATTTGAAAAATGAATAAGCTTCGGCTATTATCAGTATTATATACTATCTTTCATTTAATTTGTGCTCAGTCTCATTTCATGTCTTTTAATTGTTTGTCTTTCGGTGAGTATGCTTCTGCTTTGGTGAAATAACACACCAAATAACAGAATAACTGTTGATTCATCAGGCGAGAGACAGTCCGGCTCATAGATTTTCCGCTTCGACTGCTTCGGTAGCATGGGGTCAATACCTATGGTTTAAACTTTCTTCAAATATCGCGTTGTTACGAATGAATTTAAACTTTTTCCATACTCAGAGAGTGGAATGGTAGTATAGCTATCTTGAACTGGCTTTGATTTCTTTGGATTCGTCGAATTTTGCTAAAATCCATGAAAAACTGACTAAACTATCGAATGTGGCGGAACATTGCATACATTTACATGTGATTTTGAAATATGATATGTCCGCCAATATGGCGGCCGAGATACGTGTGACGTCACGTGAAATCGATCTATTAAGTTAAAATGAAGGTTTAGCATTTCATGTTACCTCTTGGACCTGGTGAGCCTGGTGAACCGACGGCGCCATCTTTTCCTGGTATACCATCACGCCCATCTTTTCCTTTAAAATGCCACAAAAACCAGGCTTAATTATGATGAAATAGATCTATCAACATCAATATAAGCCAAATCTATAAAGGTCGATTTAGACGATACAACTTTTCCCAACAACTATCGCTTGCGACCGGCTACAACTGTCGTTTGATAACCCTACGACAGTTGTAGCCATGTCGTAAGGATGACTTACGCAGGTTGCATGCGATGGTTGTAAGCAAAAGTTGCAGTGTCGTCTAAATCGGCCTTAAAGTAAATCCATGCGAGTATCCTCAATACTATGGGATCACAATTATGAACAGACAAAACTTATGCAAAAAATTCGTGAATATTAATCATCTTTCCAACTACAACTATGATAATTAATACGAATACTTAAACAAACGATTACAAGGGCAGTTCCAAGGGTTTTAAAATTAGCTAGGCACCCCCTTTTAAGGGTTAAGAAGAAATATAAATTACGATATTAAATCTGAACTTTAAATAATTTCATTTCCAGCTGTCCTAAATCTATTTATTTAATGGAGTGTGTAGGCAATGTTCTCCCTATTAAACCACTTCACTAGCTATTCTTTGTTTGTTTTTGCTCTTTAACCTCACTAATTCACATTCTCACTCTGCGTTTTTGTTTCCATGGTTACCTGGTTTACCCGGTGCTCCGTCCTTGCAACATCCTAAAACAGGTTATAAGAAATTAAATTCATGCTCATAGGGTTTGGCCTTCAAACGACGCACATTACACAGTAAAAACCATTAAAAAGTGAACCTTTATGAAAATGAATCGCAAACCTGACCTTGTCGCGTTTCCAGAATCTTCATCCTAAATTAAAGCAATAAAGAAGTCAKACGAAATTCTTGTTCTGAATTGAAATGCTGTGGCAACTAAGGGAGAAGATGTATCTATTTTTTATATATATTTTTTCCCTTCACTTTGAATCTTATAAATCGCATCTTAGATTTTTCTCATTGAAAAAAGGCGCTCAAAAGATCGAGCGTTTGATTTCGCTGTGCGATTAGAATTATACTACGAGTAGCGAGACTAAATAATGGTTATAATTTTAAACAGTGGTGAAGAGCGTCTTCCTGTTGAGTGCTGAGGTTTTTCACTTGAGCAAAGGAAAATTAAAATGGTTTTTGATATCAATGAATATAGTTTTGAAAAAACTTACGACGAAATCACTCTTTTGACTTTTATGAATCATTTCTAATTTAAAAGTAGTAAGAATTTTTCTTTTTTCAAGGCAAATCGAAAACAAATTGTCATAATTATAGTTTGATTTACCAGCCATTTGYATCAATTCGACAGTTAATCATATACTTTTAAGGAGTCAAAACAGCTCTTTTACTACTTTCTACCTTTCTTTCAAAGCTTTCACAACATCGCTCAGTGCCTKTAAGTCTTGGTTTGTCTTGTTCAAGGTGCCTCGTTTTACTACACCGTTGTGCTCGTCATCTCTACCGTCAACACCCCAAAACATGGCGAGTACCACCACGATAAAGATGGCTTTGAACAGCATTTTATCAACAGAAAACGTTCACTTATAACCGTTTCAACAATTCTGTTCAACGATCGTCGTCTAGGTTGTTTGAATGAGATGAGGAGAAAGTCAGAGTAAGGATATCGGACAGTATTGTCAATATATTACCACACGGAGTGTACAAGAAAATTCGTGAAAAAGAAACGTTCAGTACTTGTGACTCATTCATCAATTACCAATATTACCAATTGATGAATTAACTAAATATATAGTATTTCCAATAACTATAATCTCTCTGTATTTACTATAAAGCCAGAATTCCAGATCTTTAGTATAAATCTATTTAAACAGCTTCAGTTTTCTCGGGATACGAGGAATCATTTTATGAAGGGCTTGTAATTGAAACTTTTTTGATAGCAAATACGCCTTTTTTTAAATAAATTATCATATGATTAATTATAAAATACCGTGTTTGCCTCTATGGATTGGAGGTAAAGAAAAGTTATTTAGGTATAAATTGCTTTCATAGATAATAATATAATAAACAGAATGTTACATTGTCGCGCAAAAGTACTGATTTCGTCCTTACGCGCACTCTGAGAGATCTTTTCAAAACTCAAAACTCAAAAAACCGTATCGGCGTAAGTCTCCTTGAATTACAGATCCGTAAAGTCTTTTATTTTGAGAGGGTAGCACGTACTATAGTCTCTAAACTAATAAACTTGTGGCCCTCTATATATTCACTCATACTCACTACCTCAACATTCATTATTTTACTACACGCCAAGCGACACTATTCACAGCTAGTTTTTGACTGAGGGAGGAAAACAAGCGGACCTGGAGAAAAACTCAATGGCTATAAATATAAAAACATTAGGAAGTGATCGCTTGTTGTGGTAATTCAAAAGCAGCAGGTACTCTATTGTTTTAGGTTGACTGTGTAGGTGACGTCTTCCAGAAGTGTATTCCCCAGCCTCTAGCGTTGTAGTTGAGAGGACCTTCACGAGAAGGCGCAATCCTAGTCAAAATATTTCTGGAATCTCGTTTACTATAGTGTTTTTGATGTAACTTCTAACGAAGAATCGGTAGGTAACACCAGGTGTTTCATCGGGATCTTGATCTGACCTTGAACTGAAAAGTCTTCCAGTGAACTTCCCTTGAACCTTCCCACGACGATCTAACGAGGGTTGGAAAAATTTATCGTAAAATCATATCATAGATTTGGAAGTGAACTCACTGGGATTGCTTACCCAAAAACAAATGCATTTGTAAAAGGTAAAAATTGTTACTTATAAAGTCGTTGCGCTGTGCGTTTAAAGGAAAGTTACTAATTAGTAACCAAACCTTTCAAAATCAATTTTAGCCACAAGTAGAATATTCTCTTAACTAWGTTTTAGTGAAAACCTCTTACTAGTAAAACTGTACGATCAAGCCGATCTCAAAAAATTCACCTGTTACACGTAAGGCATAGTGAGGTACGTTTTCCTTTGGCCAAAATTTTGTTCGTACGTAGGGTMGTAGGATTCATTATTTAAATACAAAATGCTAATTCTTGGCGAGTAAAGTTTAATCCATTTTCAATATTCAAATTATCGTTCCCATCAAAGGGCAATTGACTTAATTATCGCTCTATTTATATTTACTTACAATCATGTACGCTTTCCAGGCGTTCTCCGATCTCCCATAAAAGTTATTGATTTCGTATGAAGGTTGCTCTCCTTGGTTTATTATACGATCCTTCTTCCTTATTTCCTTGTAGTGTTAAGCAAATGATCATTATATTTTATAGACCAACAATCGTATATATCGAGAACCAAGAATATTTTACCGCTTTAGTTCATCGTTCGTAGGCATGTGTTTTTTTGTTTGTTTTTTTTGTTGTTGTTGTTGTTGTTGTTGTTGTTTTTTTTTTAGCCACAAAACTCATCCTGCAGTTTTTAAATAAATCAACTGATGTGTATAATGAACTAAATGATGAACTAAGAACAGCTATTTTAGTTAGTAAGTTTTCGTGTTCAATCGGAAGTGGATCATATTTGGTTTATGAGAGCTTGTCCAACAAATGTTTTTTACTGAGTCAGGTCGGCGTACAAGCAAATCGGCTTTTTAGACATGGTATTATGGAATCACCAATATTGGTTAATGAGAAATTGAAGATGAGCGCAACAACAGTCAATGTACATCATATATGCGTGATATATAATGTCTGTTCGAGTATTCGAGTATGCTTATTTTTAATCGGCTTGCTGAATTACAAGAAGGCCAATTGCAACTAGCCTGTTTTTGATACTTTGGCGAATGTAGGACAGACGCAGCGCCATGATAATTGGGTTGATAAGAGATTGGAGATGCACACATGCTGCACAGATAGGCATAGCAATGTAGTAAAAATTGCTTGACATATCTTTACCCTTCAAGGATCTTATCACTGTGACTAGAATGATAGGAATGTAAAAGAGAATCGACAAAGCCACCAACATGGTCATCGTGAACACTCGCTTGTATTCCTGGAGTCGTTGTTCTTGTTGTTGCTGTTCGTCTGGCTGTTGAACTGATTCTTGCTGTATRGCGATTGTTCTACTTTGACGGTAAGCTGTTAGGTGTACTTTAGTTGTGCAGTACAAAATGACCAAGCCAAAAATACTAAATGCTGAAGCTGGTGGGATTGTAGTTAACCCAGGATATTGTTTGTTTAAAAAAATGGTTCCAATAAACACATATCCAATACATGATATCCAGACGATTACCGTTGTTATCATAACCTTTTTTACTGTTATGTTGTTGAGATAAAAGTTTGGGTGCTCTATTGCAAAATATCGTTCAACACTCGCCATCGTGAAGCTGACTATAGTTAGACTAAAACAAACTATCGAGAGTAAAATGTTAGCTGYGAATGTACAGTCAATACGCAAAGCACAATCATTCATAGCGCATCCAAGGAGAAGGCAATACAATGGRTCGACCAACAATCCTACAAGGAAATCACTCACTGCTAAAAAGGCAAGCAAAAAGGAAGAAGATCGAAGATTTTCATCAGCTATCACGGACCATATGACGAGRGCGTTAACGAAAATTGTCAGCGGGGCAGCAATGCCATTAACAGTAGCAAGGAAAGTCCAAGTCGCRTGGACCGACTCTGAGCGGTTTATGTCGTGAGGATCAAACTGTGACGGCATCACCAAAAAACAGACATGATTTGTATTAGGAACCACGGCAGTAGAAGAATTATTTGCCATCGAGAGCAAGAGATGTGGACAATTGTTTTGACTCGRGAGAATGATCTCTACGCGGTTGAATCACTAGAATTACCGACTAWGATTGTTGTGAATTAATAAGGTTTTAAGAAAACTTAGATGACGCATTTTTAAGTATTTTTGTTCACAATGCTTATAATAAGTAATTATGGGGCATTTTCTTTATTAATCATCCTAGTCCCGTTCCTCCATGCCCATTTCCATATACTGATATATGAATTGATACGAACATAAGAAAAATTTAGGAAAAACTATGTCATCAATTCATCGAAAAAAATGAAATTATTTTTGAACAAGAATTTTAACTTATTTTTATAAAAGACAATCATTCATTATTTGGATTACCTASTCACTATTCGGGAGATTTGCGGTGAAAATGCAAAGTACGTTTACAGGAAGCCAGTACACACCGCGTCCTGTACTTTCCAGTGTTCTATTGCCTCGCTTTACCATCACAATTAACTAAGAACTGAGCTACAATTAGTTAATTGATGTTGAAGCTGAAAATCCTAAACACCTGCCGAAGACATTTTATCAAGCGTTATTTTCCAATAAGATCTGCGCTCTCTGATTTTGAAGGTGTAAAAATGTTGGATTAAACTATCATTGGGGTTCTTCGTATACTCATATTTCTAGCTGTTTCGTAAATATCGGTTGTGCTTGCATATGGTTTACAATTTTTTGTGAAAATTTTAATATTACCTTGCCACAAGTACGCATGTGCGTATATGCGTAAAGRACGCTACGCGCCTGAATAATTTCATGAAAAAAATGCGCTTCCTCTTGATCATGGTATCAGTGTACTTTTATTTACCAAACACGATCCTCGATCGACAAATCAGAAAACGAGAAAATCCATAAATTTTGTAAAGCACTAGTTAGAATGCCAGAAGTGTGCATTGTCAATATCTAAGCGCTTCGTAGTTATAATATGGGACCAAATATTGGCTCTTTCTTACTGAAACAATTTTAATTAACTAAGGCCCGGTTCATACGTCGAGCCAGCGTCGCGCCGAACCAAATAGTCAATTTGTGTCGACACAAATCCATTTGGTACGTCGTTGATTCATACGTCGAACCAATAGACCAATCCCGCATTCGCTTGGATGAACACGGAACAATGGCTTTATTTCGAGGCTGGAGTTTTATCTTTTGTCGAAAACTCCAGCCTCGAAATGAAGTGAATGCGGGATTGGTCTATTGCAGTAAAAAGCATAAGAAAAGGTCCGATAAAACGCAATTTACGCCATTATTATTGTCGAAAACAGATACTTTTGTGAATTAAGTTCGGAACGACGATAGCTCGACGTATGAATCAGCGTTGAGCTTTTGTCGTGCAGCACGACTGACTCTGCCGTGCCACTGCCGTGCTACGGTTGCGCCGAACTCAATTGATTCATACGTCGAGCTGTTCATGTGCTAAGTTCAAACTATTTGGTTCGGCGCGACGCTGGCTCGACGTCAATGGACCGGGCCTAATAGATTCCATTTTTTCGCGCGACTGTTATACTGTAATAGATATACACAGATGACGTCATCAGAGTCACGTAAGATGTAATTGCGTNTGGATGAACACGGAACAATGGCTTCATTTCGAGGCTGGAGTTTTATCTTTTGTCGAAAACTCCAGCCTCGAAATGAAGTGATTGTTTCGTGTTCATCCAAGTGAATGCGGGATTGGTCTATTGCAGTAAAAAGCATAAGAAAAGGTCCAATAAAACGCAATTTACACCATTATTATTGTCGAAAACAGATACTTTTGTGAATTAAGTTCGGAACGACGATAGCTCGACGTATGAATCAGCGTCGAGCTTTTGTCGTGCAGCACGACTGACTCTGCCGTGCCACTACAGTGCTATGGTTGCGCCGAACTCAATTGATTCATACGTCGAGCTGTTCATGTGCTAAATTCAAACTATTTGGTTCGGCGCGACGCTGGCTCGACGTCAATGGACCGGGCCTAATAGATTCCATTTTTTCGCGCGACTGTTATACTGTAATAGATATACACAGATGACGTCATCAGAGTCACGTAAGATGTAATTGCGTTATCAGTGTGCGTGTACTTTAATAACACTATGGGCCGCCCAACTATTTTGCTTGTGAGAAAGAAAAGAACGAATGCGCACGCTTTATCGCATTGGCGCACGCGCGGTTTGTGGATTATTTGTGGTATTACGTCAGGCTTTTGATACCTGGATGAATAATTACATATGTATCGCTYCCATTTTTATGGGGCGGGCGTAAAAACATGAGCCGATTTAATGCTGTTTGCCGTATTCCGGAATASTGCAATTTTCTAGTTTTAAACTTCACGTTAATATATCTAAGTCCACCATCTGATCTTAAAAAAACTAATGAATCAAATCAATCCCGATCAAACTGCAATAAACTTTCATGCAAACCATTAATTTCTATTGAAGATAACGTGTATGAATACAAAATAGTAATCCTTYACAATCATTTCATAATGAGCTTTATTTACGTGTACTGCCTATGATTACATGTACTGCTATACTGATTGCTTGAAACATGTCATGATTTACTTGGTACAGACRGCGCAAATCAATTCCTGGCCTTCGACAAAAGGAGGACAAGGCAGRGMGCCGCATCTTCCTTCAACGGTGTACAGCAATGCACCATTGTCATTCCTACTCGATCCAACAGCTTCTGCATTTCGATCAACGCAGATGAAATCTTTCGGGTTTGCATGGGTGTGGCGYTCGGTCATGAGATATCCCCAGAACTCCCTGGACCATCCCGCGGGACACTCGTTAGTTGCCGGGATCATTAGTTTGGCGTTACGGTTTGGAACAAAGCATACAGCACAAGGGACGTCGTATTCATAGGTGTTGGCTGGAAATGGATCGTGACTGTCGGTATCTCGYGTTTGATACTCCGCACCGTACATGTAAGCTGACCACTTTTGTGTTCCGCTCTTATAATTTTGGTATTTGGGCGACTCTGTCAGGCATACATAGTTGGAGCCCCCGCCTTGATGGGCGTAATATTCTCCTCCAACACGACCTACATAAAGAGACTTGTTATCTTCATCCTCTTTCTTTTCTCTTCCTGTAATTCACTGGGAAAAATCTCGCTCCTTTAAGCTTGTAAATTTTATGGAAATATGATGTAAATCAAATTTACAATGTTTGTAAAAATTTTGTGTGAATTTTGCGTAAATTGTGTGTAAAGTTTGTGTAAATATGATGTAAATCAAATTGACATATATTGTAAATTTGATGTAAATGTTATGTAAGTGTCCAAAATCATGTAAATATTACTTACATCAAATTTACAGCCTTCAAGGAGCGTGATTTTTTACAGTCATTCCTTAAATTTACAAAGAACATGATACAGATGACAGTCTAAAAAAACATAATTACGCTACCTTTGTAGACGAGGTTAGCACCAGAAGGACACGAAGTCCTCCCCCAGCGTACGTACTGAATACCGGCACCAGAAGACCCCCTTGGTCCCTGAGCACCACGTGGACCTTGCAAACCAGGACTTCCTAAACATTACAACAGTTTRAGGTGTTTCGATCGTAATAAATAGCGCTTGTTTGAGCAAAATCATGTATATTCGAACAAATCGAAATTTCAGGTTAAGATTTTATTGGAACTTCGTCAGTATATCAATTATATTATTAAGAAATGATTCTGAAAATTTTATTACAATCTCTGCGATGAGTTTCGAGAAAATTCATTTTGAAGAAAAATGAAGGTGTTTTTATTTTGCATCGTTTATCCAAATGGCTTCGCTTTTTGTCAAATTAATTTATCAAAAAGAATTATCGATAATCAGTTTGATTTCTGTGAAAGTTTGAGTGCAATTAAATCGAAATTTGCGACGTAGTTGGAGTTTAAAAATACGCGCGTAACGCTATTTGTTACGATCGAGACACCTTAAACAAACAAGCTAAAAAAAACTAATAACAATAGTATTTAAGGCCTTACGAATGAACAACTACCCGAAACAATTTATAAACAAATGCAAGCATGTTGGAGGTGATATCATGAAACRAAAGACCAAGGCACCGGCTCTACCAGAGGTGAAAGGATTTGCAGTTTTACCATATGTYCAAAATGTAACAGAGAGAATCAGCAGAGTCCTATCACAACATAACATCAGAGTAGCAAGTAAACCTGTATTAAAATACCATTAAGTATTAAAATACCATTAGACGCATGGTTTTAGATACTATTAGCGCTAAATAGCTTATTGTTTTAGACTTTTGTGGCGTGCACATCAACGCAGTTGTTGACATCTATCGAATAGTATCGAATAGAACGACTATATACCTCGTGGTCCTGCGACGCCATGTTGGCCATCTCGGCCATCTCGTCCTGTTTGAGCATAGAATTGAATTATTACGGTTAGCAAACGAAATGAAATTTTGGTAATGGACAATGAAGAAGAAGAAGGTGATGATGGTGATGATGGTGATGATGATGATGACAATGATGATGATGATGACAATGATGGTGGTGATGATGATGATGATGATGATGATGAAATGCAAGTCATGGCAATTTCATGAACTGAAGAATTGTTAATCTAATGGATTTAATAAATGATATGCGACTTAATCATCCACCAAACTATGGGCTATCACAAATTCAGCATTTTGCTTTGCTAGAGAACTATATAGTCTATTAATTCTTTGCTAGAGAACTACTAAAACAATTGACCACCCCCCTCCCCCCCTCCCCCCACATGCCAATGGAAGTGTATGCCCCTGCGTGCCCCTGCGTCTCAAACTCGTTTCGTATTCTGATTGTCAAATTTCTAAAAATTCTAATACAGAGGAACAACATAAGGCAGTATGTGTGTATCACCTACCTCTTGGTCCTGGTGAGCCAGTGTTTCCATCTTTTCCTGTTAATCCATTGAGTGAACGATCAATATAATGGAAATTTTATTCATGTTAAACTAGTTGGACTCCAAAAAAAAGACAATTGTTAATCATTATGGAGAGTTAAAACCAAAAATACAATGTGCAAATGCAAATTTGAGATTWTTGAAAAGGTCAAAACTATTACGTCAAACTTTATACAGATGAAACAAGAGCRYCCCATTTTGGCACCCAGCTCACAAACTCGCATTTCTCGAATGCACGACCTGGCCCAAGAGCAACCRGAGAATAAGAGACAGGAAATAGCAAGATTTCTTGCTTTACTGCGATGATATCGAACTTGCCTGGTTTTCCGGGCATTCCCGGTGCCCCGGGTGTTCCATTTGCTCCTGGAGTCCCATCCTTGCACCAACCTGGATAACGACATATAGAAAACAACAGGAGTATGAATACCTTGTGTGTACTGGTTTGTGCATGCAAAAAAAAACACACACCAAAAAACAGCTTTTAATAGCAATGAAGTGYCCATCATTATATTTCAAGTACCTCGCTTTGACTCCAGGTCTTTTATC